TATCCCCCACCTCTGAAATATTCTTTTGGTCAAGATACTGAGTAATCATGCCTCCAGAGGCTCTCTGGAGCACTGCTGAACATGCCAAGCTCTCCTGTGGTATCTATGATCCTAACCAGTATTTTACCTCAAATCAAAGAAACTTTTGACTTTGAAGATTCTCTTTGTGAACCACAAACACCAGAGACCTGAAAATGGATTGAAATGTCCAGTAGCATCTTCCAGAAGCATAACTGGTGAATGTATGCTCTTCCCCAATGTGTGCATTACAGAAGGGCACAGAAAAGAGCCATGATAGGGTACAGCAACTTTGCCAACCCTGATGCACTGTGCCAGTGGTCAATTATCTAAGCTTGATTTATTTGGATTTTTTGTATACTGCAGAACATATGGTAACAACACTGTAAATATTAACCTGCAAGTTGGCAGAGTGGATTTTAAAAGCCTTGGGTTTGCTTTTAAAATGCTGCTCATTAGTTTTCCCCCTTCCTTTTTTGGCTTAATTTTTCTTTAACTGCTGCTCTTTCTTTTGTCTGCTGGCAGTTGTTGGCTGGCAACCTGACCTGAATGTCCATGAGTCGGTTTAGCAAAATGCTGAATTAAATTAGTGCAATGTGGATCATTTTAACCTCTTGCCAAAAGGAGCCCTGGCTTCCTAACAGTAATCTCCTGGGTGGAGATTAATAGCATTTTCCCCCAGAAGAAATCTCATTTCCTACCTACAGGGATTTGCTTGATATTCAAATCTGCAACTCAGCCTGCTTTGGGGATGACACTAAAGCTTTCTATGTGGCTTTAAAGTGGGTCATTCAATTACTCGCTGCCCCCTGTTTAGTGGAGGTACTCTGGCAGATACAGTGAAGGCTTAGGCAAAATTCAGTCCAGGGCTGTTTATAACATAGCACTCTATATTGCTTACTGGAATATGCAGAAATTCTCTTAGCAAATCCCAACAATGCAAAAAGCTGCCTTTGCAGGGTGGATAAGGGCTGACTGTAAAACAGCCGATGGACGCAGTACTGTATTTTTTTAAAAAAAGCTTTTTTTGTTCCAAAAGTCTGAAATGCAGTATATGACAGCACAACTATGAATGAATGTAATAATATTCTGTAAAATTTACTCAATATGCATATTTCAAATAAGCCAAGGTGGAAAATGCTGAAAAGAGCAAATTCCAAGCCAAGTGTGAGACCTAGATCCCTGTACTCTGAGAACTAGTTGACCACCCCATAGGAGGATATTCGAAAATTTGAGATCTAACATCCAGCACCATACTTCTGCAATGTTGATGGAGGCAGCTCTGTCAGAAGTAATGGGAAGGGTGTCTGCTCCCAATTCCTATGCAAATCCTGAATATCCTCAACAGGATCTTCTTCTTTCCCCAGACCACCATGCTACTCAAAAGTTAGCTTTCCCCTTAACTGTTGACTCCTGTCTGCATTATGTAGGTACTAGTCATGGACCCAGTATCTGTATAATTTGTTTGACTTGTGTTTCCATTTCATTTAATCCATTTGGATGGCACAGAACAGGAAGGCCCCTTCTGGAACAAAAATAAACTTGATATGAAAGGCAGGCGGGAGTGGGTACCAGCTCCAAGACTGCTTTTCGGATCGATTGCTGCCCCTTTGGTCCTACATGCCCAGGCCTACCAGGGCCCGCACCCAAGCATCGAGCAAGGAGTGCTCCTTATTTGGTGCTTGGGTACAGGCTCTTGCAGGCCTGGGCGACTTGGGCCTGTGCACCTGGGTCTGCCAGGGCCTGCAGCCGAACATCGGGTAAACCCCATCCAAAAATTCACACTGGGAAGGGGAGTCTGGATAGGAAGCCCCCTCCCAAATAACGGGCCAAAAGAAAACAAATATTTTGGCACCCAAAAATGGAAAAACAGATCGTGGGTCCCACCAAAAGCCGGGACACAAAACAAATTAAGGTTTACCCTAAATACACATCACTAGTAGATAGTCATGTGCATTCAGCACATTTGTGTCATTTCAATAATTGATTTTTTTGCCCCAAAATGGTAAACTGTCCTGAGTCCTCTTGGGGAGATAGGGAGGTATAGAAATAAATAAATAAATAAATAAATAAATAAATAAATAAATAATAACTTGAAACACAACAAGATGAGTTCACAGCAGACAAGATCACTCTGCTGGCTGTTGTATTGGATCACACATCAGACACTTCCCAAGTGTCTAGGACTGTATGATGTATCAGGAAATAATGCATGCAGATCCCAGTAAGGTGGCCTTCTGCAGCTGGCAGGTGGTGATTTTGTCAGTGCCGATTGTGTTTAAGTGCAGGCCAAAGTCTTTAGGCACTGCACCCAGTGTGCTGATCACCACTGGGCCCACCTTGACTGGCTTGTGCCACAGTCTTTGCAGTTCGATTTTTAAATCCTCATATTGTGTCAGCTTTTCCAGTTGTTTCTCTTCAATCCTGCTGTCACCTGGGATTGCAACATCGACAATTAATTGTGAGTTCAGGAGTGTTGTGCTCCAAAACTCTGTCTGTCTGAAATCGGAAGTTCCAGAGGAGCTTGACATGCTCATTTTCTGTAACTTTTTCCGGCTTGTGATCCCACCAGTTAGTTGTCGCAGACAGATGATATTTGTGGCACAAGTTCCAGTGAATCATCTGAGCAAAGGTGTTATGCCTCTGATTGTAGTCTGTCTGGCGATCTTCTTGCAGCAGCTGAGGATGTGATCTATTGTTTCATCTGCTTCCTTGCAGAGACTATTAGGATCTGTCGCTGCCTTTTCAATTCTGGCTTTGATAGCATTTGCTCTAATGTTTTGTACTTGGGCTGCCAGAATCAGGCCCCTGGTCTCCTTTTTTCAAAGTTCCATTTGTGAGCCACAGCCATGTTTTTTCTTTGTCAATTTGGCTCTCAATTTTTTCCCAGGAACTGTCCATGGAGAGCTTTCTTCAGTTTTTTTGCCATTATTATTATTATTTATTATTATTATTATTATTATTATTATTATTATTATTATTATTATTAGCCTGGCTGCTAAGGGTATAATTTTAAGATTTTTATCTGTGGCATTGTGAGTTGCAGCATTGGGCCTGGGCAAGCATGTAACCCGGGGGGAGGGGGCTTGAGGGGCTTCAGTCCCCCCCCCCTGAAATTCTCATGGTGGTCCACGAGAAGGTCTTACTGGTACATTATTTAAACTGTTATGTTTATTCATATCATGATCTGATCACCATACTCAATATATCCCATATGCATGGGGGTATTGGGATAACGATTCAAAAAGTTTGCTAGGGTAGATCCTCTCTCACTCAGACTCAGCTCCCCTGAATCAAACTCCGCCCCCTCCCCCGAATCAAAATTCTGTCTACGGGCTTGGGTTCTGTATTTTGTGAACAAGTGTGAGGGTTTTTATAACATAGTCTTTTGGAGCACCCCTTTTCATCCTCTAAAAGATTAATGAAAGAGAGCACATTGGAACGATGCCATTAAACACACAGAGACAGAGATAGGCAGTTTATTATGCAAAGGCGCTTCCATGGGAAATGTCTCTGCTCCATCAAGCAGAGTTATGTAGCTAAAGCCACACAGACAAAGCAAGCAGCACATGTTTTGCATTCTCATTTTCGTTCAATAGCCCTCTCTAAAAATATTAGTCAGTGGCCACATGAAAGCAATGGGATTCTGGTCGTTCCATGTTAAGAACTTAATTTGCAACGCATGGTGCATAATTGCTAACTTAGTTACTACAAAGGAAGCAGATTTAGGTGAAAAGTTCAAAGTTAGCTAAAAGAAGGGGAGCTTTGTGGGACAATTTAGATGCCTGATATATAAAAAAGGATAATGTTTGCAATGTTTTTAGCAAGTTCTGATTGATTCCCTGGCTTCAAGCCAATGTTTTTTTTAATGCTACTCAATACTTCACAGTATTCAATATATTTTATATGGTCTATACTAGGAGCAAACAGAAGGAAGTATTGAGAGCTGTGGATGGTTTGCAATACAAGCTGTCCCCAAATTACAAACAAGATAGTATTTGTAGGCTATTTCTTAAGTCAAATTTGTATGTAAGTCACAAGAGCCACATTTCTAAAGTCTATCTATCTATCTATCTATCTATCTATCTATCTATCTATCTATCTATCTATCTATCAATAGTATAGTGAAGGGTTAACACCCATGTGGTTGTTTTTCTGTCTGTGCTCCTGTTCAGAAGATTTCACCTCACTTTCTGTCCCTGTGAGAATTGGATTTTTGAAAAAAAAATGTGGCTTGTGGTGGAAACAAGGATTGGTGATAAAACTTCATTTGAGACACCTTGTTCCCCATGATAATTTACCTTCCTAGGGATAGATTTCACTCATACCCTGTTGCTCAACCCCCTTTGGTAACTAACTAGGAGATGTAAGTCAGATGTTTGTAATTTGGGGATGGCTGTATATACTCATGTATTAGGCTTTGGGGCCAATGCTATGGCTTTTGATAAATCAAGGGTCGTTTTGCAGAGAAGGGAAAGCACCAACGTTTCCTCAGGACCTTTCCAGACAGGCCCTATATCCCAAGATCTGATCCCAGGTTTTCTGTTTATCCCAGATTATCTGGCACTGTGGACTCATATAATCTAGTTTAAAGCAGAAAATCTGGAATCACATCCTGGGATACAGGGCCTGTCTGGAAGGGACCTCAGGGAGGGAGTCACATCTTTCCAACATTTTCCCATCCAGGTATTCAAGCAGGTCAGAAGCAGCACATCCGTGGTTTTTCCTTCTTCTTTTTGGGGGGTGGAGGGGGAGGTTATCCACTCTTTGCACAATTGAAGTTGCCTGTTGTCCACAAAAGGCTTCATGCTAAATAAAACACTAGACTTTCAGGTGTCACAAGACTTTATTGTTCCTTGCACGATGTGCTGAGCTAACAGCTTGTATAATGGAAGTAAAATGGGGCTGTTTTCTTGTCAAGACATGTTCAGATTTAATTAAAGTTGTTTATTGCAAGTAACTGGTGCTTCTTTTGATTGCAGCATCTATATCATGGGTTTAGTCCTCGAGTGGATTAAGAACAACGGTGGAACTGCAGCTATGGATAAACGCAGTCAAACTAAATCACAGATGATTTATGACATTATTGACAAATCCAATGGATTCTATGTGTAAGTTGCTCTAACCGCTCTCATTGTTGTCATGTAAATGGCTCTGAGGAAGACGTGAATCACCACTTCAGTTATGTCAGTTCCAAAAAAGAGAAATAAGCCCTTTGAAATTGCTACTGAAACTTTTCCAAATGTTGGATGAGGGGGAGGAGATGGCTAGTAGTCAAGGAAATTAATGATCATAGGAATTACCTTGGATTTTTCTTTTTTGTTAAGTATGGGGTAAAGAACGTGGCTGTGTAGCAGCCATATGGAACACTCAGTTGAAGCCGTACCTGTATGGGCTTGTAGAATTACTTCTGAAAAACTTAATTTAAAATGTTATCTGTTGCAGCACAGGGCAGAGGAATATTGCCTTTGGCTGGATTACAAGCATAAAAATAAATCTTGAGGAAATGGGAAGCAGCATCTCCTTAAATTTGCCTTGGTAAATGGAATAGTACGAGGAACAAAAAGCACAGGGGTGGTAGACTGTATTATCCACCAAACCAATCCAACATTTTAAAATTTGTTTTTGTCTCAATGCCCTCTAGTAGTGAGGGGAAATTCCATTCCATTTTCTTTCCTTGGGCTCTTTTAGCCTGAGGAGAAGCAATGGAATTCACTGATGACCTTGAGTCCATAACTCCCTCTTGCCTTAACTAACTTCAAGGGCTGTTATGAAGATGAAAAGGAGCAAATGGAGAATGTAAACTCCCTTGTCCCTCTTGGAGGAAAGGCAGGATATACATGTATAATAAGAGCCTTGTGTCTAGATGTGCATGTGTGTGTGTTCCTGGCTAGACTGTGGTTACTTGAAGCAACAGATCCATCCATCACAGATATGAGTTCCACAATTACAGGGCTTCCATTGCAACTAACAAAATACATGTTGGGAAAGACTGTAGCTCAGTGGTAATATCCCCAGTGGCATAATGGGTTAAACCCTTGTGCCAACAGGACTGCTGACCAAAACATTGGTAATTTGAATCCAGGGAGTGGGGTGAGCTCCTATCTGTGAGCTCCAACTTCTCATGTGAGGACATGATAGAAGCCTTCCACAGGAGGGTAAAACATCTGGGCATTCCCTGGGCAACGTCCTTGCAGACGGCCAATTTTCTGACACCAGAAGCAACTTGCAATTTCTCAAGTTGCTCCTGACATGAGAAAAAAAAAATAGTGCTAATGCCCATGCTTTGCATATCACAGGCCCCAAGTTCAATCTGAGGCATCTTTAAGGATCTGAATCTTGCTGCTAGTCATGAACTTACCAAATTGACCAGCCCAGTCTAGATCAATATAAAGTAGTTGCTTCTCTTCCCAAAGAATTATTCTTCTGAAGCAAGACGTTTTATCTGGTGCATGAATTTCCCCCATGTTATTTATTTATTTATTTGCAATATTTCTATCCCACCTTTCTCAACCCTGGAGGGGACTCAAGGCAGCTTAACAACAAAGTCAACTATTTAATACCATTAAAAACAATGTAAAATTAAAATAAACATTTAATTATAGGATTATAAATACATCAAAACATTTAAAAACATTTTAACCAATTTCACCACTGTTAAATCATAGAACATAATGGGTGCAAAGGTAGAACTGCCCCTCACCAATATCAAGTTCTGTAGAGACTCCTTCCACACAACTGAATAAAATCCCACATTTTATGCTTTGAGGTGGAATATATGGCAGTGTGGATGCAGATAACCCAGTTCAAAGCAGATATTGTGGGATTTTCTGCCTCGATATTCTGGGACCCTTTCCACACAGCTGAATAAAACTCCACATTATCTGCTTTGCATTGGGGGTCCTTCCAGACAGGTCCTATATCCCAGGATCTGATCCCGGGTTTTCTTTTTATACCAGATTATCTGGTAGTGTGGACTCATATAATCCAGTTTAAAGCAGAAAACCTGGGATCAGATTCTGGGATATGGGGCCTGTCTGGAAGGGCCCAGGAATTATGGCAGTGTAGACTCGGATAACCCAGTTCAAAGCAGATATTGTGGGATATTCTGCCTTGCTATTCTGGGTTATATGGCTGCGTGGAAGAACCCTGAGTCATATGACTGTGTGAGGAATCTGCTTTTTGAACAAGAAAACTGTTTGCATGTTTGTTGAGTTCACTCTTCTGCTTTGTCTGTTTCCTTCTGGCATGTGTCCATCCAGGCTTGTGTCTTTCTGGCATGTGTCCATCATATTTTCATTTTTTTCTACTCATAATTAACAGCATTCCCTCAAATCAGCCACAAGTTAATTCAAATATGCCAGCAGTCCTGTGGTGCAGCCTATTGCAGAGACCGACATGGGACTGGTGCTTTCACACAAAGTCTCTCTTGTCCATGAGGAAAACTTCTCTTGAAAATACTTTTCAGCCTTTTTGCAGGTTTTGAGGCATGGGATTTGCTATGCAAGAACAGTAACAGTCTAGAAATTGCACACTTTGAATGCAAAATAATTATAATACTTGTTCTTTCATGCTTACCCATTTCATATTTTCCAGCTGTTGGTTCTGAAGTGACTGGGAAATTAAATAAGCTTAAAGCTTGGAGAAAGTTCCTGCTCCCACAGCAGCTAATTCAGATTTTGCCTCTAGCACATAAACTGTTTAGGAATCCAAAATGGAAGTGATGGCCATTACTGTGATAGCATTAAACTGTAGCTGCCGCCACTGAGTGCTATGTGTCTTATCAGTATGTATTGCTGCCTTTTGCAGGTTAAGCGGCAATGTCTGGGCCGTGCTTTTTGACTGATGGCAACGTCTTATCCGAGGCAAGGCTGTTTACCTGTGAAATGCCACCTAGAAAATGAAATGGTTCACTGGGCAGACCAAAATGTGACCAGCCTTTCAATGCCTCAGGAATCGTAGCCCACCTTCCACATGGCTGCAGTTTCCCTGCATTTCCTCTTGTGCTTCCACTCTCTGGGTCTGGCCTATGGCCGCCGTGTGAAAAAGTTAACCTGCAGCTTTACAGGGGCCATAGTTGCTGAAATTATGTCTGCTTTCTTGTCTGACATTTTTTCAGAAATCTGAAACTAGTCAAATTGTAATCATATTTCTAGGTCTTTTCAGTGCAGAACACTACAAAATGTAGTGATGCCCATTAAAGGTAACAATGCCTCTAAATGGGGATTTGATGAACTATTAGAGGATAAGGGTTTATGTGAGAGACACTGTGATATAGTGGTTTGTATTGGACAAGGACTATGGGAGACCAGGATCTGAATTCCTTCACTAGAAGATACCAATTGTGGGAAGGGTTTTAACAGAGTGGAATTGTTTTGTGGCTAAACAAAGAACACATTCAAAAATGTGGTCAAGTTTATCTTGTATGGAAATTTTAACAAATTAAAATAAGAATTTAAAATATTTATTTATTTATTTATTTATTTATTTGGAACATTTATATCCCGTCCTTCTCAACCTCTGAAGAGGGACTCATGACGGCTACAAACAGGCACTATTCAGTGCAGACACCAAATAAAACATAGCATAAAATACAATTAGTACAAATTAAGATAGTTAGAAATATATATTGCATTAAAAGAGTGTGCCAGTTCAAATCGTCATCCTAAAAACGGTCCATTGTTGTACATTAAAACATTGTATTTCCCAGCAAATCAGTCTATTCTGCAAACACTTGATCTCGCATCCAGGATTTGAGTTTCTTCTGGAAGGTCAAGAGGGAGGGGGTGGATCTGATCTCATTAGGGAGGGAGTGCCACAGCTGAGGGGCCACCACAGAGAAGGCCCTGTCTCTCGTCCCCACCAAACGCGACTGTGAAGATGATGGGATTGAGAGCAGGGTCTCTCCGGACAATCTTAAGGTCCTTGATGGTTTGTTGAGGGAGAAACGTTCAGACAGGTAAACTGGGACAGAACCATTTAAAAAAATATTCTTTTATGACATTTTCAGATGCCCTGTGGAAAGAAAGAACAGAAGCAGAATGAATGTTCCCTTCCGGATTGGTAGTATTAAGGGAGATGAAGCCCTTGAAAAGAAATTCCTAGATAAAGCTGTAGAAAACAACATGATATCCCTGAAAGGACATAGGTAAGAGAGAACAATGCAGAATGTTTGCCCGGAGCCACTAAACAAGATAACAGAACACACAGCGCTCACCATTCATGAAGAATAATGATAAAATTACCTTATTACCTTTCTCTGAATGAACTGAGGACAGAATTTCTGGTTCCTAATAGAGCTTTGTTGTTTGTCCTGTTCAGCATTTTCTGAAAAATCTTTTAATTGGAATTTAATAATTAAACTCCTCAAAGTAATTATTCGTAATGTTGGAAACGAAGCTATGACCAGCTTTCATTTAAGTTTCAGATTAGAGTTGAAAGATTCAAAAAAAGTCCTTGAACAGATGTTCCTTTTTGTGTGTGGCAAAATAAATATTGAATTAAGGAGATAAAAACGACCACTGTTTCTCCATATCTGCTCTTGCTTCAGCATATTTTCCCCTTCAGTTTCTTTCTCTTTTCCAGAGCAATCCAGCTAGGCACATAAATTTGGCAATGACACTCAACAGCCAGTTAGTTTGGGTTGTCTGGTTTTGTTACTTGACTTCCCACCTCCTTTAACTTGATGGTATGAGTGATCATGTCAGGTTTCAATGAGAGCAAATGAAACATATTATGATGGAAATAGTTTTGGAACAACTAGGATGAATATACCTTTCAGTGGTCAAGAACATATTCAGGAAAATGGCAGCCTTGTGGCTCATTTGCAAAAATTTCATTCACAATTGAGAAAAGGTATTTTACTCTGAATTGTGTTTTTATAGTCTCTCTTTGCACCTACTACTTAGCATAGTGTATCATAGTATTTTGATGTATGAGACATTCCTTCATCTTAGGATCTGATATCATCGCAAACTGATGATGGTTAATTTCAGCAAAAATGCTACTCTTGTTTAGTGACTGTTCCTCATGCACAGTCTCTCTTCCTCTCTGTCTTCAACTCTTTTATTCTAGTACTATAATTTTCTTCCCCTCTCCTCCTCCACTTTGTATTGTGAGAAGCTTTTCCCAGAAAATTGCTTTTCAATCCAGATGTGCAGAGAAAACTAAACAACTATCTTTCAAGTTCTTTCTCCCCAAAAGTCTGTATCTGTAGAGAAAAACAAGGTCCTTGTGAAATCGTGTGTGGTTGGTCCCCTACTTGTTTTCTTACATTGTCCTTCTTGTATTTCAGATCTGTGGGAGGAATCCGGGCCTCCTTGTATAATGCTGTCACAGAAGAAGATGTTGGAACGTTAGCAACATTCATGAAAAACTTCATGGAGACTTACCGGTCATGAATACAAAAAATAAAATGATATGCTGCATCCCTGTGACAAAAAAGTCTTAAGAATTGGAAGATTATAAAAAACATTTCTTAGAGAACTTTCCACAAGAGAAGCAAAAAACCGCTGGTCTACTAGTACTCTTAAGTAGTTTAAACTCATCTAGAAGGGCCCTTTGGAAATGCTTAAAGTTCTTCAAAACATATCTCTGTATTAAAGTATTAGTAGGGGATGTTTAGTAGCTCATAAAAGGATTGGGTAAACTAGTAATTTTATATCAAATCTCAGCACACATAAGGTATAGAGTGCATTGGAGACTGGAATTACATTCATTTTAACCCTACTAACATATTTGATGTTGATGTAAGTCATCCCACCAACAATCCACTTTGATGCAAAATAGTACCTACCTTGTGTGCATTTTTGCTGATGCTTTTTTCCAGTTTTTCTGGCTCTTCCTCTCTTAATCCTTTCCATTTCTAAAATTAAGAATGCCAAGTGCTTGATCTGGTAAGCAGAGTTAAGCGAGTACCAGTTTGTTTACACACATGAGGCTAAGTTCAACAGCATTACTTTTCATATCTGATCATTCCAAAGGAACATTACTCTGTGGTGCCTGAGGGAACGACTGTCAATTATGTGTTGCTGACCTCAGCTTTTGCAAACATTTTGAAAAAGGAAGTCTCTTATGTTTTATCCACTTAGCTGTGGTGTTGCTTTTCTTCCTAAAGTATTAAGCACACATTCAACTACACTGAGGTGTAGGCTGTTTTCTTTTAAAATACTAAATGTATTGACTTAGAAAATAACCTTTTGGCAGACTTGCGTTTCACTACCAAGGGAGTCAAAATTAGTTTCCTTCCTAGTGCTTTCTTCCCGTGGAGTCAACACCCTCTTTGTTTTTCTCCAAAACCATTGCACAATTCCGGCTATTCATTTTTTTTCCAGTCAGAAACCATCTTGTACAGTTTATGCTTTCAAAAGAGGCCTTGCATGTTCTTCATGCACAAATTGGTTTTATACATGAACCCAGCATCTATCCCATTTCAACGATAGTGTTCAAGTCTTAGGTCCCTTCCACATAGCTGAATAAAATCCCACATTTTCTGCTTTGAAGGATATATGGAAGTGTAGACTCAGATAACCCAGTTCAAAACAGATATTGTGCAATTTTCTGCCTTGATATTCTGGGTTATATGGCTGTGAGGAAGGGCTCTTAGAGTGACCCTCTGAGATTTCATCACTTGTTATTATTTTTCTACATCTTCTATACATTGTTTAGTATAAGTCCATGTCTGTGTCAAAAACTCCTTATCCAAAACTTTTGAAGTCGGTAACAAATATGCTCTCATATATATATATATATATATATATATATATATATATATATATATATATATATATCTGTTTAAACCACTTGTTACATGGCATAAAAATGACTAAGAGATCAAATTTCTACCCATCACTTCCTGTCTCCTTACAAATGGAATTCATCAGGCTGGGGACAGAATTTTAATTTCCTGCCCAGTTTAATGGTATACAGTATTATGCATAGTATGAAAGCTTAAGTAGTATGAATAGTGTCTCAGTTTATTCTTGGTATAATGGCCAAAGGTGGTGAACATGCACCGCTATAAAACAAATACTTTTATTTGCTTAGTTTTAAATAACCATGCTTTACTTTCTTCTTGTGTTACACCACGAGTTGAAAACCAATAAAACACTTCTATGATAGTTTTAGTGGCTTTGGTTTTTCTTTAATTCAGAAAGCTCAAATATGATGGGATGCTTAAGTTCTTTGAGACTTTGCAAATAACCCTAGCTCTTCTAATAGCGCATTAAGTCTTTAAAAACCCATTTTCTGGTGATCCTTGTTATCTCTCTTCAAGAGTGGGTCTGGATATTTACATAGTTGCATAAAGTTGGATATTACTTAATGTAATATTCTATACATGCCCAGGAACTAATCTGCCTCCAAGGAAAACCTTCATAATCCTATTCCTTTTTATTCAACCCAGTCCAGAAGTGAAGTTCCTCCTATTACACTTGTTATCCTTTAATATCCGGATGCTGTTTTACCCCCTGCAGATTGAAATGGAAAGAACAGATAGATTGAAAATTCTGCAGGATTTTTTTAAAAAAAATCTTATGCATCTTTTCTACTATGTTGTCATGTTTAGAGGTGGGAGAGCAGGACAGTCAACTAGAGGATTAAACTATGTTGTACTGAGTGCCAAGATGAACTTAGTGGCTGTGTTTTTTTAAACGTAATGTCTTAGAATATAAAAGTGGGGTTGTAAAATATATCCTTGGGAGACTGGAGATTTCCTATTGGCTACATATATAGCTCACATGCAAAAGTCTAAAAAATAATAATGGAAAGGTCTTATGGGCAGCAATAGAGATACAACTCGATAGGCTTATGTCTTGGTTATAGTAGTGCCTTTTTTCACTAAGGAAAAAAGGTACAGAGGAAAGCTATGACAGATCAAGTGTCAGGCCAATCAGGAAAAGAATTCAAGGAACTGAGTGAGCATCACTGAAGTTTTCCAGGCAAGGTGCCACCAGGGAAAGCTATCGCAAGAAAAGACGTAACAGTACCTGTGAAACATGAGCTCCAAGAAGCAAAAAAGTGTTATAAATATGGAGAAAACACTCCAGAAGAGAAGTACATCCTAACCCTGAACCTCTCCCTCAATTATTATAAAATTGCCAAAATTTGAAAGATTATATTTGCTGTTGCGGAGGGAGGACCTGTAAGCTTTTATTCCAATCACAGTATCAGACCATATTCTGAGAACTTTGGAAGATTTTCAAATAGGTAATATGTCAATTCAGTGCAGACTTGTGGCTCTTAAAGATCTTGTAGCAATTCAATGAGCTACAGTTACATATACACATCTACCTATCTACCTGTGTGGGTATGAGGTGTTTTTTTTTTTTTTGACATAAAAACCTGGTCTTGTGGACTTTGCTTTTTTTCTTATTGACAGGCTAATGCAACCCTACGCAAGAAGTCCACTATCCAATTTAGACTGGATTTACCATAACTGGATATTGGGTTAAACATGTAGTGATTCTCATACATGGCTCCCAACACTGTAAACACAGGCATGGGCTCTTCTAGAGGTAATAATAAAGTCCCTAATTCCATCATTCCCCTAGGTTTCATTTTGCCATTGGATGGGTGTGGGAAGCTGACGGTGGTGGTGGTGGTGGTGGTGGGGGGCATGAAGATATTCTTTGTCCAAGGTGCAATTTATCACAGGGCTACCTATATATGTGTTGCTACTTTTCCTACTCCATACTCTAGGAAATAAAGCCCAACTGCTCACTAGAGGAAAGCATATTAGAGGCAAAGATGAAGTACTTTGTCTACCTAATGAGAAGTCGGGAAAGCTTGGAAAAGATAATGAGGATGGGGAAAATGGAAGGAAAAAGGAAGAGGGGCCAACCAAGGGCAAGATGGATGGATGATATCCTTGAAGTGACTGGCTTGATCTTGAAGGAGCTGGGGGTGGCAACAGCCAGCTGGGAGCTCTGGTGTGGACTGGTCCATGAGGTCATGAAGAGTCAGAAGCAACTGAATGAATAAACAACTTTTCCTACAGTGTATGGTGGATTAGATTAGAGACATTAATCTAATATTTTGAAGGTCCTCCGAATGGGTTGTATTCATGGTTATTGGTAAACTGTTCTGTCCTATATTGTAGTGCAATTATGATCCTCCTATCCGGTCAGGCTCATTCAGTTCTTTCCCTCCCTACCTCGAATTTAAAAGCAGACTTGCTTTTAAAGTGTAATTTGGGAAGGAAATGGCCACATCCACAGCCACATCCACAGTGCCATTAAACAGGTTGTGACTGATGCCACCCAGAGGTACAGGAGGAAAACGGACAGCAGAGAAAGTGGGCATTGCACCCTATCTTTATTAGAAAGTCTTAGGAGCAAGAAAACAACAGTGGTCGTTTTGCCAGTTCTTTCTTCTGAAATATAGGCTAGAGGGTATGGTATTCCTTGACATTTTCCTACCCAAATACTAACCAGATCTTAGCCTGCTTAACATCTAAGATTAGATTGGATCTGGTGTTTTTAGGGTATTTCGGCATAGATTACAGTTCTCAACATGATTTATAGGCAATTTAGCAAATAGTCATGACTGTCACATTTTTCTCTGGGGTAAAAAGACAGCAAGGTATAGTGGTTTGGGCATTGGTCTATGAGGATTCAATTCCCCGTTTGGCCAAGTAAAAGTCTCTTAGCTTCTAAGGAAGGCACAAGCAAACCCTCTCTGACCAAACCTTCCAAGAAATTCTTGTGATAGGTGAGGCCTAGGATTGTGATAAATTGGAAATTTGAAGGCACAAAACAATGAAAAGACAACAGTGAGAAGGTGAGCCATTTCCCAATGCCCTTGTTAATTGACTGCAAGCACACAAAGATACATATTTGAATGGCAGTGTGCATTAATAACATGAAACCAAAGTTCTAATTTTGTGGGCAAAAGTATAATATGGTTTGATTTGACTTTTTGGATACTATTTTGCATGATTATATCACTATATCTGAAAACTGATAACCTGTATTCTTTGACATGTCCGAAATCAAAGTACAGTAGCTTAATATTTTAAAAGAACACCAAAACAGACATGGCAACCTGGATTTTGATGTCCTGTTCCAACTCAAACTGCTATTAAATACAAGGGGTGAATTTAATGTCAGTACAGGCAGCTGAATTCAGCAAATGTGTCAGAGTTTTTGTTTTCCTCCTCCAGTTATAATCAGTCAGATGTAATCAGGAATAGCCATTAAAAGTGGTAGGAGATTTTGATAGATTAGTTTCTGTCAAATTAGGGGGAAAATAGTATTACGCTTGGCATTCTATAAGTATATGATTAATGTTTGTTACGTTATTCTCTTGGAATATAAAATAAAATGTGGGAGAGCCTCTTCACTTTGATAAGAATGTGCATAATTAAAAAGTGAAATGTTACTTGCTTTTTATATGAAATCAATCACTTTAATTGGAAAGAAGAATCCCTTATTTCTATTGGTAATTGGACTCTTGATAATTTTAAATCAGGATTCATGACGGTTTGTGATAAATCGGCTTCTTTTAGCCTAAAAGAAGCTCAGAAGTTATAATTATCCATGGATTACCCCTGGATGGCTAGATCAAAGAGATGGAAGGTGATAGAGAGAAACGCTGTTTAGTACATGAAGATTTATTAGGTTCTAAAGCAGCTAAAGAGTAAGAGTGGATTGGTAGCAAAAACAAAAGCATATGCAACTTCTGAAATCACACAGGGAAAAATATCTTTAAGAGCCAGAGAGGAAATGAGTATTTTAGTCACTGCATTAATCTGCATCACATTTGAGCTGACGAAATTATGTGTCAGGGACTTAAGTATGCTGAACTATTGTAGCAGCAATTTTTACTAAGATGATTAGGAACTGTAATTTGTACAAATATAATTAGCTAAATCTGAGCTCTCATGTTTGTTTTTCTCCCTCACCCTCAAGGATTACCATATGCATAACTGCTGGATACTAAAAAAAAAGTGCAAATGTGCCCTTATATGGCTGGGGAAGAAATGTAATTAGGAAGAGGGAAAAGACTAAAAACAGATTTTTTTTCTGAAAACACTACATGCTTGGAGTCTTAGTAGACCACAAGTTGAGCATGAGACAACAGTGTGATGCAGCAGCTAAAAAGCTAATGCGATTTTAGGCTGCATCAATAGGAGTATAGACTAGATTGAGGGAAGTCATAGTCCCACTCTATTCGGCTTTGGTCAGACCTCAACTTGAATACTATTTTCAGTTCTAGGCACTATAATTCAGGAAGGATATTGACAAGCTACAACCTGTTCAGAGAAGCATGACCAAAATGAAGAATGTCCAAAGAAGGTTTCCCTTGGAGGGTCTTTTAGTTGGAAGTGGATAAATGCAACTTTGCATGCCAGTCCCACAGATATGTGGGTCACATTGTATTTCAATATGATCTCTGTGTTTATAGTGGCTAAATCTAGATATCAATTAGTTCACAATTGGAACAGGTCATTTGTCATATAGTGGCTAACCTCATGGTAATGAGTCTCTCTATATCTATGTAAGTGTGTCCTTGGATGACAGACTTGCAGGATACATTCATGTCAAATATCAAAGTCTTATCAACTCACTCTACAGACAATGAGAGCCCAATAATAATCCCCCCTTATGGTGAAATGGTAGAATAAGATTTTGTAGACAATCAATTCAAAATAGAAATTAAAATGATGTCTATTTTATGGACCCCAGAAAACCTAAACAAGACAAGAAAATCTAGGCTAATCAAAAGGAGTGGTAGTGGCAGGTGTTTGTACCCCTATATACAACCAGTAAGGATCTGTTCATTGCACCTTCTCTGACATCTGTTCATTAAGATACACTTTCAGTCAAATATATGTGGAGCTTCTGGTGGTGCAGTGGGTTAAACCCTTGTGCCGGCAGGACTGAAGACTGACAGGTTGGAGGTTCAAATCCAAAGAGAGTGTGGATGAGCTCTCTCTGTCAGCTCCAACTCCCCATGCAGGGACATGACAGAAGCCTCCCACAAAGATGGTAAAACATCAAAACATGTGGTTGTCCCCTGGGCAACGTCCTTGAAGACAGCCAATTCTCTCACACCAGAAGCAACTTGCAGTTTCTCAAGTCGCTCCTGACACACAAAAAAGTCAAGTATATGGTATTAG